AAAATGAAGAACAAAACTTAGCCGGTGTAGAAGGAAAGTATACTCTCTCAAAAATACAATTCAAACTTATGAATATGAGAGTATATAACTAGAAACACAAGCTCAAAGTGTGTGTATAAAAATCAGGAATTTAAGGCTCTTAAAATAGCCAAAATATTGAAAATAATTAATAAAAGGATGAACACACTTAGAATAAAAAGAGAGGATGTTTAGAGCTTTGTTTCTTGAAGAAATATGAAGGATTAGGCTTGTATTTATAGTGGAAGATGTTAATTAGCCGTTGGGAGGTGATTAGGGTTGATTTAATTCAAAATCACAAATCAGGAACAGTAACCCAACGGTCACGGTAGGCCGGTACCGTTCACACGGTAGCATGGTACCGTGCGTACGGTAGGGGGGTACCGTGAGTGGCGGTACCTCGGTACCATGTAACACCAAAAATCCATTTGGCTCTGGCGGTACCTGGTTAGGACGGGTTGGGCCAACCGTCTACGCCTACCGTCCGGTACCTAGGTACCGTTACACGGTATGGGGGTACCGTGTAGGCAGTATACCCTACCGTTTGGGGTACCGCTAGGGGTACCGTGCCATTGTCCTGATTTTTCCAAAATTCCCTTAATCCTTCGTGTTTGAGTTTAAAACCTTTTAGATGTTTGAAAATGTTTATGGGATGGTTTTAAACATATTTTGTGAGTGCTTTTGAGCTTGTGAATATAGGTATATAAAGTCATATCCTTACAACGGTTTCTACCTATATTCTACGCTAGTTTAGTGTTTCGACTTCGTTCTTGAGTACCGAATCTTAATGGATTTTTATTTTACCTGAAACACTTAAACAAACGTTAAGCTCTTATATTGTTTGTTAACATCAAAACATGAGGCTTAGCAAACCAAGGCTAACAATCTCCCCCTTTTTTATGTTGACAAACAATATACTTCAAAGTGAGTTAGGTGGGAGTAAAATAATAAAGCAAGCAAGCTCCCCCTAAGAATAAGCATGTTGAAAATACTCACTTTGAACTTTTCTTGTGTTTATTAAAAGTTTAAGTTTGATTCAAACGTTTACACAAGAATGAACTCAAGTCAAGTTACATATGCACCACTTTGAAGTATACATCTTCTCCCCCTTTTGTCAAAATCAAAAAGGGTATTTTGAAAATTTTAACCATGTATAACTTCTTGAAACCCTCCCCCTATCAAAATGAATTTTTAGGAAAAATTATAGTTTGGAGATCATTGGGCAAAAGGTGCATTTACAACTAAACTTCCCCTAAAAATGAAAACCCCCCCTTAAATTATGCAAGTTTTTTTTAAAAAAAAAACTTTATTTTTCAGGGATTTTTGGGGATTATTTTATAAAAGGCATGATTTAAAATGGATTTTGAAAATATTATTTAATCATGCAAACCAATGCTAAAACAAATAAAAACACGTATGGGATAAGGTTTTATTTTTTGAAAAGAATTAAAACCAAACAAAATATATTATCCCAATGAGCAAGAGAAACTTACCTTGGCTTATGCCACTCTTTTTTCGGCTTTGAAAATACTTCTTTCCTATTCACGTACTTCTTCCATTTGAGGAAATCCGTATATTTCATTCTTATTGTCTTCTCTTCATCTTCTTCATCATTTGACTCTTCCGAAGAGCTTGAGTCACTTGAATCATCACTTGACTCACTTGACTCTTCACTTGATGAGTCTTTTGAAGCTTTGAAGGCGTTGGTAAGTTTGGGATTTTCTCGCATTTCTTCCTCTTTAATCTTTCTCAACAAAAGTTCGTGAGAATACAAGGAAGACCAAATGTGGGCGGTTTCGGCCTTATCACATTTTGGTAATAAATCTACGATACTATTATGCCATTCTTTAGGTAAAGAAAATAGAATTTTCGTATTAAGCTCGGAAGTAGTATACGTCTTACCCAACTTACTCAATTTGTTGACAATCTCGTTGAACCTCTTGTTCATCAGTTTCTACCTATATTCTACGCTAGTTTAGTGTTTCGATTTCGTTCTTGAGTACCGAATCTTAATGGATTCTTGTTTTACCTGAAACACTTAAACAAACGTTAAGCTCTTATATTGTTTGTTAACATCAAAACATGAGCCTTAGCAAACCAAAGCTAACACAAAATACCATTGTTGCCTCATGACCCCCACCGCCCTAGTTCCCACCATCTCCCACCCACCGATGCCCCACCCCCGACAACCGACAGCCCCATCATCACCACCTCCACCTTCGACCGCCGAGAGCCCCATCATCACCATCAGTCACACAATCGTCCCCACCCACCACCATCACCATCTCTCGGAGAAAGAGAAAAAAGAAGGGGGAGAAAGATGAGAAGAAGATTAAGCACAGAACACAGATCTACCGTAGATCCACCGTCACCTCAGCTCCCACCACCGTTGTTTGGTCCATCATCGACATCTAGTCCATCCACCGTCACCTCAGCCTCATAGATCTAGCAGAGATATAAAAGAAGAAGAAGAGGGGGGAGAAAGAAAAGGAGAAGGCGTATGACGGTGGAGAAAAAAGGATATGGATGAGAAAAAAGAAAAAGAAGCGAAGAAGAAGAATATGAGGAAGAGGAGAAGAAGAAAGGGAGAGTTGAGGAAGCGAGAGACAGATAGGGGAGCTGATGCTTTGGGCGAAAAAAGGAGAGAGAAAGCAAAAAAAGAAAATGGGATTTAATAAGAGGGGTAGTTTAGGAAGAATTGGGATGAAAAGGTAGGACGGGATGATTATTTTCGGATGGAAAAAACGTAGAATGGGAAGATTATTTCTGGACGGAGGGAGTAATACCTATTCTCTAAAAAACCTATTATTCTTAATACCCCTCCGCAAGCTGATCATCAGTAACGAAGAGTAGCTAGCTTGGAGCACAAGTACTAGAATTGAGTTGGTGCATTGGTGAAAGCAGTTTTGAAAATGAAAGATTGAGTTTGGTGTTAGAATAAAGGCCCAACGCTAGAGGGGGGGGTGAATAGCGTTTAAAACAAAATCGCAGGAAATTAAAACGAGAGCATTAAAGTAAAGAGCGTAAGGAAGGAACACACCGAGTTTTATTCTGGTTCACCACAACGTGTGGCTAATCCAGCCCCCCGAGAGACTCTCTCGAGCTACACTAACTCCGTTAAGCTTAAGGGTGCTTAACAAACCGATACAACTTGAGAACCCGAGTCACACGAGCCTCAACACCTTTGCTCGGAGATACCGCACTCCAAGACTTCTCACGAAGGAACAAGGAACTTCCTTCGAGTTTACAACAAGGGAACAACCTCCCTTAAAGTGTATGAAAACACTTAAACACTCAGGAATAAAACTCTCACAAAGAGTAGATATGAGTGAACTAGTAAACGCTCAAGAACACGACAATTTCTTCAAGAAT